GCCTAGGGTCACACTGGGCAGTATCTGGGGTAGAATTTGAATCCTGGTCTGCCTAAGTCCAAGTTTAGTGCTTTATTCACTCCTCTACCATGCCTGTCAACATTACAACTGACATATCTATGAATGAATGAAACATTTATTAAGCACTATTTGTAAGACCGTACAAAGCACTGCGCTAAGAGCTAGATAAAAATAGAAAAAAATAGTTCCTGCTCTCAAGGAACTCATTCTAATGAGGGAGAGAATATTCACAAAAGGTTTCAGTGGCAAATCAGATGGAACGGTCCCATGGTCCTTAGGATGTAGTGGCAAAGTAGATGGCCATGGCTCTTCTTGAATATTATTTCCCTTAATAAAATCATATCAGTTTCTGTTGCTGAACCATTTTATAGTGTCAAAGACTTTGGTGACAAAGAGTTTCTTTTTCAAGTCTTCAGAAGATGGGGCTATAGTTCCTGCAGGAACAGGTGCCAGGCACATCTCCAGGAGCTGCTTCCCAGGACTGTTAATGAACACAGTGTTGGAGGCATTGTACTTCCCCTGGTGCTTGGGTTCAGACACTCCTGAGCTGTCTCCATCAGGGTCTCAGGGGGTATATGGTGATCAAGAAAGTGGTGGTGACTTAACTTGACTAGCACAGGCTGCCACCTGTTTCTCCCTCTGGGAGACTTTTTAGGCTCTGCCCTGTATGGATGTGGCAGCTGGTAAGGATGGCTAGCCCCTTCTTCACAGTAGCCACTTCTGCAGATGATGGCAGTGAGGGCTGGGCTAGGAGGACAGGTGGTCTGGGGTTCTGCCACTCCCAAGGCTCCTGTGCTTATCTTCCTGATGGTGGCACTGGCTTAACAGTTGTTGCTGGTGGTAATAAGGAAGGTGGGCCTCTTCTCCACAGTGACTGGGATAAATCAACAATGGCTGTGGGAGCTGGGCTGGAAGCAGGTCCAGAGGCCTGGAGGACATTGCTATTCTCCAGGCTCTTGAGTACGGAGTCCTGGGTTGTTTCCATCAGGGTCTGAGGGTAGATTGTGGTCAAGGTGGTGGTGGTGGTTTGATTTGCTTGGAACATGCTGCTTCCCATCTCGCCCTTAGGGTGCCCTGCTGCTTCAGCTAGGCTGACTTGCTGGCCTTGTATATGGCTACACAGTAAAATTAAAGCTATTGAGACTCCTTAGAAAATATTCCTTCTAGATAATCATATTTTACCTCTTTAAGGACCCAAATTTATTTTACTTTCTAATTTTTGTTTAAGAACAAAATACTTGGAACATATTTTTTCCTTGATGTATGAATGTCATTATTATAAACAATGGGAGCGCTGTAATACAAAGATGTACCCCTTAAGTTGGTGTGTATACTTCTTGGCTCCTAAAGAAAACAATATTTCACAGTTTTTCCAGCCTCATCCCTTACTGTCAATCAATCATTTTCTGTGTACCTGCATGTAGCAGCAGCCTGTAGGTTTGGAAACCAGAGAATAAACTTCTTAGTTTAACATTTATTTTTAGATGTCTAAAACAAGGGCAAATAAGCTCTGAGTCTAATTACATTTTTACATATGAGATAAATGAGACCCAGATAGGTTTCAAATGACTTGTCCAAGGTCACAAAACCAGTTAAAATGGTATTAAATTCTGGTGTTCCAAATCTCAGGGTCCAGTACCTTTTCCACTCCACTCCACCATGCTTCCTCTCTCAATATCTGGGGTTGCTGATTTCCAGACAGGTTAGCCATTACTGCAGTCAATTTTATAAAGGTTACCTAACTCATTATTAAACTTAACAGCAAAGTATTTTCTGGGCCCAAGCATAACTATGTGTGTATGTGTGTGTGTGTGTGTGTGTGTGTGTGTGTGTGTGTGTACACACACATACATATACAAATATGTATGTATACATGTATGTGTATATGTGTATATATACACACAAACACACACATATATATACATATGCATATACACAAGGCTTTTATATACCTACAAATACACATGTCTCCTCAGCCATATTGGAAGCCCCTTGATCTCAGCCCCTTGACTGTTTTGGCGTCTGACTTTGTTTCCCCAGGACCTGTAACAGGGTCTGGTACATATCAGGCGATTAATAAATGCTTATTCACTGACTCAAAGATTTTCACAATTTTGCATCTCTATTCTTTGAAGACCTTTAAATTTCAGTTTCTGGGACATATCTTGAAATCTAAAAGTGAGCCAATGAGAAACCATTCTTTCCTTTATGTTTTACTACTGATGCTTTCTGTTCTCTGATACTAACCTTTATAGACAGGAAGTGTCAACATTGAGCAGTCTGGAGGCGATTTATATTCTTGCTTTACTTATTGCTTTTCCAAATATCAAAAAAGTATTAGAGTAAGCAAACCCTCAGGAGAGAATGCATATATTTTAAAACCAGCTTCCGACTTGAAGCAAAGATGTTCTGAAGACTGGTTTTGCTCCAGTATCTGAAAATCTTTCAGCAGATCTGTGTATTCAAATCCCAAATCAGAACACTGGCAACACAGAGTTCTACATTTTTATTTAGTTGACCTCTAATGACTCCTCATTGAGATTCCATTTTTAGCTTAAGGAATAAGGCTTTAGAAGAATGTCATTTTCTAGAACTTACACAATATCATATGAGCTAATTACCAGTGTCCTATTATAAAAAAGCACAGGAGTTAGAGTCAAAAGACATGGTTTTCAATCCCAGTGCTGAAACCTGTGGGACCCAAGCAAGCCACTTTACACCTCTGTGAGTTTCCTCATCGGTAAAATAAGGTAAAATTTGACTACATGGTCTCTACTGCTATTTCCAGCTCTAAGTTCTTTGATTAACCCAGGGACCTCACAACTAAAATTACATTAAAAAAGGGAAGGGAAGAACAGGAAACACTGAGTCCCAATAATAACATGGTCTCCAACTTATTATTGAGACAACAAGATCATGAAGATATATAATGAAACTAAGAGGTGATTTCTGATCTTTAAAAACAGTATTAATCTAAAAGAAAGTGAAAGCATATATGAAAAGTAAGGATAACACTCCCATTTTGAGGGAAAAGAGATTATAATTTAACCAAATAAACTGCAGAGGGCACACAGACAATTCAAATCTCAATATCACAATTTTTCTTTTCATCTTTTTTTTCCCCTGCCTCATATACAATTCTGTGTTTCTTGGTGTCTTGATGTAGAACATTCCTAAGTCCACCTTAAGACCTGTGACATGCTCTAAGGATAACATTACTTAAAACTAGGTCCTCAAAAAAAAAAAAAGGCTTGCATGACCCAGTCAATTTTGGGAATTACTTTCTGTTTGAGGAGATGTAGCTAGAAGTGAGAACATAGAAAAAGAGACTACCCAGCTGTGGTCAACACATATCTGGAAATCCCCAACTTTTTGCTTGACCCTGAGTAGTCTTAAATCCAAGTTACAGAACTCTTTGACCCTGTTAAGGTCTGTCTGCTTCAAATATAATGGCCCTGGCTGCCCTTGTCTTCCAAAAGCTGAAGCTGCTTTCTCCACTATTAAACCACAAGAGGAATTTGTATTTTCTCTCCAGACTGGAAAAGAAATCAGGCCCAGTCCTGTAATCAGACAAGGAAACTTCAACATATGGGGAAAAAAAAAGGACGAATTAAGAAGCACTTAAAGAGGAGCCAACCAAGAACTTGGTCCTGGAGAAGGAGCAAGGGTTTGCCATGCCATAAATCCAAGTTAAGGGAACTAAAATTTTACTGTTCAAAACAAAGTAAGCTGTGTAAGGATCTCAGTCCTGGATCCCACCCCACCATGCAGTGTATATTCTTAAGGCTGTGTGTATGTATTAGAAGTTAGCAAAGAAAAAACAGACTTTGTAGAAATATGTCAACACATGACATAACTTGAAAAGGCTGGCTGCTCATTGGCACGGGTTGCAACTTGCAGGGCTCACATGAAGAAGTGGCTACTTTCATTACTTTTCTTGTGAAGTTACTTCCATTGCCGCTGAAAATAACAGATTAAGGACAACTAAATAGTCTCATTTATGTACAAAACCGTATGGACAGGTAACGAATGTGAAGTTCTGAAAGAACCAATCACTACAGAACAGACTGTTTATTCCAATTCAAGACAGTCCTGGCAGCTTCTTCCACACCACAACAAAAACAGAAAGACTTTCTCATTCAAACCCTACATCTCCAGTAACTGAACTGTATCTAAATATAAATCGCCTAATGGAGGATTTGATAATACCGGGATGGGTGCAAGGAACCACTCAAAATGCCCACAAGGCTGCAACTGGGAGGGAGAACACACACACACACACACACACACACACACACACACACACACACACACACGATTTCATGTTACACCCAGCATCTAAGCTAATTAGGTCCCGTGGGCAAAATGCAGGCGCCTGTTCATTCACAAACGCACAACCAATAGATTTGCACCAAAACCCTAATCCAGAAAGGCGGGTGTCTGCACAGTAACGGAGAAAAGGGCACGGTGAATCGAAGGCATGTGTCAGATTCACACCCACCCGGCCCACAGGGCAAACTTGCACGCCCAATCCCGACACTTCCATACAAACGTGCCTGCGAGTCGCTCCCGCGGACTCCGGCTACGCCGCCGCCGCGCACGGAGAGCTGCGGCAGGATGTGGAAGTGGAAGAGCACCCCCGCCCACGAGCACGCAGGCATGAACACACACACATACACACGCAAGCTCAGACAGAGGCGCGCCTCGGTTTTCCCCGGCGCACACGAGACAGGCCCATCCGGAAGATGTGGAGCAAACTTGAGATCCGTGAACCGCACAACCCCAAGCCCCCACCCTTCTCCTCTCCCTGCACACCACCACCAGACACACACACACACACACACACACACACACACGCACGCACACACGGCAACTGGAGGGTGTACAGGTTAATCTACCCCAACCCCTCACCAGCCTTCTGCCTTGCAGTAAGATAGAAGGGGGCGATACCCACTCACGCGTGGCAACCGAGTACTCACCTGCCTGCACAGTGTCTGAAAGGTCATGTCCGAGGGCCACGGTCCTGGGAAACTCCTTCAGTTTTCGAGCGCTGAGGTTAAGCCCCCCGGAGTTGGCTGCCTCCTCGAGCGCCCGCTCCAGACCTCGGTTCAGAGGCAGGTTGTAGCCTCCCCCCCCGCCCCCCGCCCCGGCTCCGGCCCCGCCGCCAGCTACTGCCCCGGCCCCGCCGTGGTGCTGAAGATGGTGGTGATGGTGATGATGATGGTGATGATGCTGGTGCAAGGCTGCAGCCGGGAGCGAAGGGGCAAAAGGTTGGGGCTCGCTGCCCACCGTCGCCATCTTCTTCCCCTGGCCCCCCCACCCCGCCCCTCCGCACTGGCGGGGGGGGTCTCTGCGCCCCCCGGGGAAGGAGAAGACTCTGCTTTGGGCTGCGCCCTTCCCTACGGGATCAAGCGGGCAGGCAGCGGCGCGGGGATGGGGCAAGAGCGCGGAGATGGCTGGTCGGGGCTGCCCGATTCCTAGGGGTTTCCTTTCCCTGGGAAGCGAAGGACGGCGGCGGCGGCGGCAGTAGCGCGCATGTGTCTCCGGCTGGGGCTCCCTCCTCTCCGGCCTCTCTCTTCCTCCTCCTCCTCCTTCCCCAAGCTGTCAATCCAGCCCCGAGTCCGGGTTAGGGCAAAGGCGTCCTCCCCATGCAAGTCCAACTTGCCCCAGCCAGTTCACTGAGCATGCCCACAGTCCCCGCGGGCTAGAGGCGCGACTTTAGACAAGTGGGGGTGTGGGGGAGGGAGGTTGGGCTAGTCGTCCCCGCCTCCGCCTCCGCAAGAGGGTGGAGAGCAAAGAGGGACTGACTGCGCCCAGCGATCTAGGTGCCAGCCCCGAAGAGGGAGGGAGGGATAGAGGCACCCTCAACAAAGAGAAGTCAGAGGCTAGCGAGGTGGACAGCCCCTGGAGATGGGGAAGGACACACACACACACACACACACACACACACACACACACACACACACACACGCACCGGGTGAGGGGGCTGACCCCTTTTGCCAAGGGCTTCCTTTTCCTCTGTCATTAGGAATCCCCAAGGTCAGGGTCATTGCTGGGCGATAGATGAGGTGCAAACATAGCAAAGAAGGGGTTTGCCAAATTCAGCACGTTTGGGAGATTGCTTTGTACACAAGGGGTCCCCACCCCTCTTCTAACAGATCGGTTTCTACTGCCCCATCACTCGACTCTCAGTCCCATTTTGGAAGAGTAAGAAAGCCTTAAGAAAGCCGAGGACTTCGGGGTTGGGGGTGGGAGCTTGAAGACATGCGATTTTTGCAGAGTAATTGTTGGAAGCCACTGAGACACGGGAAGAAGGATTGTTGCTTTGTCTGCAAAATGACAATTTGCTTGGAGTATTAGAAAAGATACTGCAGGAGGTCGGGAGAGAGAATTAAGTGGAAGAGGACATCGTGAGACCCAGGACCTAGGTGGTTGGGTTTCAGTGGACACTAGCCAGTTGCCCTTGTTTGGTAGTATAATACTGGGGTCAATCCAAGTTCTTTAGACCAGGTCATATTCTTAACCCATGGAACCTGGGGTCTGTTTCTACGTCTTCAGAGTGAATTTTTCTCTGCCCCTCCTCTCTCATCTCGTCATCAATAAGCACAGACGGTAACATGTGCTGGCAAGTTCTCCTGCCCCTCCAGTACGACTATTTCCTTTCTGGCTATCTCCCTAACCTCCACTTGATTGGAAAGTCAACTTACTCAACAAGGAATATGAGTGAAGAAGCTAGTCTAGTCTAATGGGAAAAGTACTGGAGTCAGGACATCTGAATTTGAATACTAGCTCTACTACTTAATATTAACACTTGGAACTTTGGACAAGTAATATCACCTCTCTGAGTCTCAGTTTCTTACTCTAAAATCAGAGTACCAGATTGAAATTTAGCCACTATATTTATTTAGTCATAAATAGCCTGTATTATTATATATGCCTTATATTATATTAATAACCCTTTCAGCCCTACAGCCTAGAATCCAATGGCCAGGGCTTTGTATACACTTATGTGTACTAGGTAAATATCCCTCACTCCCCCACCCCTTTCAGTTTAAACTACTGGAGGTCAGGTATGTAAACTCTTTGAATGCTGGACTTGTTTCATTTTTGTCTTTGTATCCTCCAGATCCAAAATAATGTCTTCACAAACGTTTGAATTTTGTCTCAGCCACTTACTAGCACTGTGTCCCTGGGCAAGTCACTTAACCATTGTCATCCTTTTTCCTCTGTCAAATGGAGATAATAATAGCACTTACTTCATAGGGTTGCTAGGAGGATCAAATGAGATTATATATGTAAAGAGCTTTGCAAACCTTAAAATGATATATAAATGAAATCTAGTATTACTGTAGCTAATTAATTGAAGAAGGAACCACCTGATATAATACATTCCATCCGTCTCTCCAGCTAGCATTGTCTTGGCTGTCCACCATGCCTAATTTGCTCTCTCTCCTCAACTCAGCCTACTGGCTTCTTTGGCTTTTTTCAAGTTTCAACTAAAATAACATCTTCTACAGAAAGCCTTTCCTATTCCCTCTTAATTCTAATGCCTTTCCTCTTTTAATTATTGCCTATCTGTCCTGTATATAGTTGTACTTATTTGTTTGTGTGTTGTCTCTCCCCATTAGATTCTGAGCTCCTTCAGGGCAAACTCTCTTTTTATATCTCCAGGGTTTAACACAATGCCTGGCATATAACAGGCCCTTAATAAATATTTATTGACTGATTGACTACCTAGATTTTGAAAGATGTTCTCTCTCTCATATATATGTGTATATGTATATGTGTACACACACACACACATATGTATATGTATGTGTATGTGTGTGTGTGTGTGTGTGTATTTTCTCCAAAATCCTAAAGCATATCTCATCATTTTTACTGATGTGAGGGCGGAGTACAATATAGTGGATAAGTAAATAATACCAATGTGGAAGATGAGGGATCGGTTCCTTTCTATGCCAAGGATCATAGAATCACATTTATAGAGATGTTAGGGACCTTAGAGATTATTTAGTCTAAACTCTTCATTTTATAGATAAGGAAGCTGAGGCCCAGAGAGATCAAGGTGGTAAAAAGCAAAGATGAGATTTGAACCCAGGTCCTCTGACTCCAAAACTAGCACTTTTCACTAAACACCACTAGGAAAGAGGGAAAGAGAAAAAAGTCTCTTCAATGACATAGACACAGTCATTAGCCCATGAAGTGAATACTATAATTGGCCTAGTACAAGTAATTTGGATTATTCTAGCATTATTTTTTCCCTAGCACCTGACTTTCATTCTTAGGTGGCTCTAGACTAGGAGATAAGCTTTTGCAACAAAAAATCTGCTCTTTTTCATTATGTATTTAAAAGGAATAGCAAGTTGTACATAGTAGAGTTGCAATCATCTTTTTTGTTCTATACTGATATGTTGTGGGAATGCTTGTTTCATTTCTTAAGTTGAGAATAAATAAAAAAGTAAATTTGAGGAGACTAGTACCACCTGCTGGTGACACCCCAGAATTTTATGAATGATTCTAAGGAACACAATACCTTTGGGAGGGGTGGTGCTTTTTCCTTAGAATCTAGAATGTTTGAGCTACAATGGAACTTAGAAATCATTTAGTCAATCTCCTTCATTTTGTTCATGATTAATCTGAGTCCAAAGAGAAGTAACTTGCTCACAGCCACACAACTGTGTATTCATGGCAGAGCTGGGATTCTACATCATGGTACACCCAGTTTGGTGTTTGTTTCCATTGTATCCAGTCTTGTACCTTGTTCTCACCCCTTTTCCCTCCCCGACTATGATTTCATCAATGTGGAAACTTCAAGTGTGGAAATTCCCTCCACTGATACAGGTCAGCAATGATCTACAATTTATAATTTTACAGAACGGCCAAGAACACTGAGAGAATTTAGTGACTTACCCATCCATGGTCATGAAGACAATAAGAGGTAAAAGGGTCAAACATTGAATCCAGGTCTTCCTTACTTCAAATCCATTCCCTCTAACCGTTGGGCTAAGTTTCTTTTCATCCACTAGCCTCACTAAAACCAAATTTCAAAATCTTAAGATTTGCTAGAGGGGGAATATCTAGTATTACATAGAAACATAATCCCACCTTCCCTTTCACTCATCTGTTTTCTACTTTTCCCAAAAGAGAAGTTTGGGCCTATCCTTCATTGTGGATATTCACTGGAAGAATTATAGAATCCCAGAGTTGAAAGGAACCTTTGAAATTACCTACCTAGCTCAACCTTGTCATGTTGCAGGTAAGGCAACTGAGACAAAGAGTGGGCAAGTGAGTTGTCCGAAGTCATACAGCAGAGGCATCCTCAAACCTAGGTCTTCTAACTCCAGGTCTTTACAGTATATTATGCTATACTCTTCATAGTAGACTATATACTATACACTACAAACTTTACGGTAGACTAGACTTCTGGCACTCTTTCAGCTATAGTCAGGTTGGTGGTTTGAGAATTTTTATCATTGTTGAGTAGGCATGTTGACAGTAATCTACGTGATCTTCCAACAGATGGACATAGTAGCAAGAAATCACAAGAAGATAAGGTGTTTTTTTTTAAATTCCCAACAAGACACTTTGAGAAGAAATAGGATATTAAGATACCACTCCCCACAAAACTATCTTACATTCAAAATATATCTTGTAACAAATTTCCAGTCTCATGCCTTTAAGGTAGGCCCTATGTATGAGATTTTCTTCTATCTTTTCTTCCAGATGAAACATTGTAGATTAAATAAAAGATTTTCCTTCTTGCTGATTTTTTCTCTTTTGTACCAGATTTGTGATTTCATTGTTGTATGGTCTGGGTAAAATATCTAATTTATAGTCTTATAAAAGTTGCCTGTAGCCCTAAATGATTAAATGAAGCATGGTCACATAGCCAGTATGTTTCAGAGGCAGGTCTTGAACTCAGGTCTTCATTGTTCAAAGGTCACTACTATCCATTAAAACAATGCTTCTAAACCTTTCTACTCTTATTGATACATGTTTTCAATGTAATAAACTATAGAGCCCAGCCTGGAGAAGGTTGGTACTATGAATGAGAAGTAGGGGGGGAAATTGACCTGGATGAAACTAATCTCGATTCTTTTTCAAAAGTTTAGCAATATGACACTCCAGTTGTTTTTCTACTGCTGCCTGCCTTCTGAGCTGTATTCTCCCAGGCTACCATTTTTTATTGTTATCTTTGCTTCCTCTTCTTGCCCTTTTCCTTTATTTCCTGATTTGGAGAATGTAGTTAAAGCCTGGTGGTACTTGGATGACAGTAAGCTAACACTTTCTTCCTTCCTGCTGTAGGCTTTTCTGGCCTGAGCATACTCCAGTCACTCAAACTGTACTGAAATGTGTAAGGGCAAAAAAGGTGAGAAATAACACTGAGGTGTTTCAGATCATGAGTGTATTGTATAAGGGCAATAGAGTAGAGAAGGCCATTTCTGCTTCTCGATATTTGCAGCATGAGATATTGATGATCACAAGAAAAGTGGTCTCTTATTCAAATCTTTACAGACAAATAAATTTTTAAGAGGTCATAATTTTTACCTTCCCTTCACCCAGAAAACATACCAGATGTAAGATCCTACCCAAGTTAACACCTATATATCTGGGCTTGTGTTCCTACGTGAGGAAATGAGGCTATAAACTAAGTTCATAAAAATTAAATATACAACCCATAAGGAGAGTGTAGAATAATGAGCCACAATACTGGAAACATCTAAAAATCAAAGAAAGATTGATC